TTCCAAATTGTTAGCCTTTTTCTAGGAAAAGCCCTCCTATCCCCATACTCTTGTCATTTTGCATCCATGAAAACTTACCTGCAACTTAATGTGAGGCAACCCTTCTTTTTCCATTATGCTTTTTGAAAGCTGCACTGCAGGCAAAGAATAGTCAACTCCTGTAAGATTGGTATAACCAGATTTGGCCTAAAGAGAGGGAAAGTCCATTAAGCCCTAAATGTTTCATTGGCTTACTAGTTGATTTTCATGACATTTACTTTGAATAAAATCTATACAGTGGTACCTCTGGAGGTGAACAGGATCCATTCTGGAGCCCCTTTTGCATCCTGAAGCAAACACAACCCGCGCGGGTCGCAATTCGCCGCTTCCGCGCATGCGCGCGACGTCATTTTGAGCATATGCGTGAGCGGCGAAACCCGGAAGTAACATGTTCCGTTACTTCCGGGTTGCCGTGGAGCGCAACCCGAAAATGCTCAACCCGAAGCTACTTCAACCCGAGGTATGACTGTACAAGATTGAAACACGACAGCAAACAATGCCAAGTTATAGAAGAAAATGCAACGAAGATCATGCACTTGTGCATCGAAGATGCTGAACTGCAGCACATATTTTACAAGAGAGGAGATATTATAGCATTAAATCTCAGGTGCATGCATGTAATACCTTCGCTCTGTTTTTCTTCTAAACTTCATATACTTTGTGGGATCCTTATGTTTCAGTCCTGCATAGGCACAGCTAGCTTAGATCACTGTGAAAAGTCAACCAAGCTTCAGGCCTACACTATACCTTAAGATAGTTCCTGATATTTATTCCTGCTTTTATTCCAGAGGACCCATGAAAGAATCAGATTCCGTTTCAATTTTTAGGCTGACAAAATAGATAAAGGCTAATTCACTGCATTAAAGGCAAGGCTGAACATTAAGTGTTACTGATAACACTCCATGTGAGAAGAAAAAGGGGGAAATCTCATGTGGGATCCCAAATCATGCCAGGCTACAGCACTGAAACAATATGCACAACAAATAAAGGTAGTTATATTGGCCTACCACTTAAAATTAGGCTCCAGAATTGTTAATGTAAGTGCTGTCTAGTTTTCAGTGTTCCTTTTTCCATTTACCAAGGTGTCTTTTACCTAAGGGTGAAGACAGATCTGGGCAACAACTGGATTTTGTATTTCTAAAAAATGAAGGATCTTATGTTTCTCCTTTGCAGCAGCAGATATAACTTAAATTCAGCAATGCAACTAACAGAGCTTCATTTGTATGTTCAATACTGCTAGCAACGTTCCATCTTAAGACCATTTACTGGTGTCAAAATTTTTCTCTCTCCCCTTCCCCTTGTATTGTTTACCATTTTGCCTAATACAAGTTATGGAAAACTCAAAAACTTTCTCACTATTTAGTAACATTTGGTTGGCCCCATAAAGCTATTGCTGTAATCTAGTTCTTGGAATTTTAAGTAGTATAGCAGCTGGAGGATATTGGGCAAATGTAAAAGATAATTTGAGCTGAAATTCAGGAAAGCTAAAATTGCCTTGGCTGCTTAAGGAAGCAAGCATGAAAGACCACAAGGACTATTTCTACATAACAAAGTTTGAACACTTTCCATGGGCGAGTTCAAGCTGTAATCTGGAAAGACTACTGAGCGTTGCATCAGAACACTATTACAGTGATGCATTTGTGGATTTCATAAACTGGCTCAGAACAGGGTGCTTTCAAAGGCAACACTGACACAAAAGAAGTGGCTATGTGTAGAAAATCAATTTTTCACCTTTCTAGTGCTACATAACATCCATAGTCTTAAATCAACCTTACCAGAAGACAGATACTAGTTGAAGTCAGGTCACACATCTCACTAGAAAGGAGATGTAAAACCTCTCTCTCTCTCTCTCTCTCTCTCTCTCTCTCACACACACACACACACACACACACACACACACAAAATGTTAATTCAGGCAGCAATTTAAGACCTACTTGTTTAGACAGGCCTCTGGAACATAACTGGAGTGAGAATGTTTGTATAATAATGTAACACTGATTATTATTGCATGTTGTATTGTGCACTGCAGTTCTACTTTTATTTTTAATGCTGTATTTTTTATTGTTAGCTGCCTTAGGTTCTCATCAGATGAAGAGGAAGGGTATAGGAAATAAACTGAGAATTCAGTGTAACACATGAAACCATTTTAGATACTCTGGGCTGATTTTGTGATGCTTCTTCTTTTGATAATATTTTATTTATTTCATAGCATTTATACGCTGCTTAAATGTAAAATAAAACCCTCAAAGCAAACTTTTGGATGTTTAAAGCGACAAACACATACACAATAATTTTTATGCAACTGAACTGTAACAATTCATATTCAGAATGAATTCCTATGGTACAATAATAGAGATGGAGATAGGCCACTGCAGTGTTAAATTACATGGACGTTGTGCACTAATGTTTTAACTCTTGCTTGCTCTGTCACTAGCTTTAGATTTGCATCAAAAAACACCAGATTTACAAATACCAACCAATTCAACCAGCAGAACACCGTTTCCTGTTCCAATGTCAAGCACAGAGCTGTCCAGGGGTATCTTTTGCTTTTCTATCCATCTAATTAAACGAGTCATGCTTTCTTCACCAAACCTAATCAGAAACAGAGGTTCAGGTAACTAACACTGTTAGACTACACAAAACAAAGGCAAACGAACATTGTCAATCTCATGCAATGCATCCACTTCATGATGGCATCAATCTCAAGAGATCACATTGCAAGTTAGTTTGGCTTAATTTTGTAAGCGAATGGATGGCTCTGAAACCTGCTGGGTTAACATTACAGAAGATGAGATGGGTTTGGTGTTGTTTTTTAATCTATAGAGACACAAAGCAGCAGTGCAACTTTGTCTATGCACTTATTCAATTTTTGACAAACATCAGGGATATAAACAATTGGCCTCTACCAAGCAGACTGTAGCCAGCAATTCATTTCCCACATAAAAAACAGATGCCACATGATAATTAGCTATTTTAATTTGCAACAGGTTTAGCCTAGACAAGAGCTGGTGTTTTTAATGAAAACCTCTGCATCACATTACCAGTACTCTAAGCAAAACAGCAGATGTACCATTTTATTTTATTGCATGCACTTTTACAAAGAAAATAATGCAAAAACATTTAATGCAGCATGTTATGTTGTTACTGACACTTGCCAGATCTCACCAGGAGCACCATTTTCCTTAAAATTTTTCAGTTCACGTTCATATGCTGCATCCCAACTACAGGGAGAAAACAACATGGAAGTTAACATTGCAATGGCTTCATATCTTGTAATCCAATAGTGTGGAAGGACTATATAAGGAAGTAGGGGCTACCCTGTTACCAGAGAAACCCAGAGCCCATCCTTTATCTTAACCCTACCCACCACTGATCCAAAACTTGATCCAGTCCCAGTGAAGCTACAGAATATGCCAACTAACGTAAGAGTAAGCTCCACTGAATGCAGCAGTACCTCCTTACAAGTAAGTATACACAGGAGAGCACTGCATGATTTATCATCCCCCCACGCCCAAAAAATATACCACATCTTACAATGACTATGTTTTCAAACCTTAAAAACAAGTCGCCCCAGGGTGCCACGGCACACTGGCTGACAACCTACATATGCAAAAGGTAAGCAAATTAACATTTGCAAGTAAAGGAAGTTGTGCTCCTCTGGCAAAACGTATTAACCAGATATCTATGGGAAACCAGTGAACAGGACACGAGTGCAACACAACTTTCCCTGCTTGTGAGTCCTCACCACAGTTATTCAGAGGAATACCACATCCAAACTAAACGTACATTTTTAGTTTCTAAAATGAAATATACCACTTGGTTCAAGCCAGCCTAATAGTCACACATTTTACCTAGAACTCTCTCACACCAATCCCAGATGTGAGATTCTGCACATGCCCTTAGGTGCCATTTCTACACCACACAATCCAGAGTATTCTAGGCCCAAGAAAGGCCCTAAACCTGTACTTAAGATCAGTCGACAAAAGCTTTACCAACACACATGCACAAACTTACTCTGAATTCATTCATAGGGCCGATATTAAAAACCATATTGCCATGGCAGTTGCCACACAAATGGTAACCCTCCTCTACTTTGTACGGAGTTGCATTTAACAGAAACTTCACATTTCCCTCTCCACCGATTTGTATGCAGTTGTCCGGTAATGCTGTGCATTTCAGAATGCAACCACTGTTCACATATAATTTAAATCAATTAAATAAAAAAATACAACACTTCCCCATAGGACAAGATTTAAATCCCTTGTTTCCGTTTTGCTTTTTGAAACCGTGCAGCTATTTTAACAGGGGTTAGTCTAAAAACAAATGAAGTTGTTTTAAAATAAAGTAATAATAACGAGGCGGGCTTTTCGTTGATGATACGATGATGATGGTGTTTTGCACATCATTAAAAGCAAATGGGGAAAAACTCATCAGGACACTTAGTTTCGTCACTGAACCAGAGGACTTATTCAATTAGGGCGTCTAGGACCAATCTAGGTTAAGGTGAATACAGGTCCCATTGCAGTAAATGCAAGTCGAGTCCCATTGACTTCAAGGAGATTCGAGCTCCATCAACGGGATTTGGATTCAGCCCAAACGTCGCGAAGGGAAGGCGAAGCCTCCCGCGATGGCTCCAGCCTAGCCGCTCCCCACGCGGCGGCGCAGCACTCACTGCTCTTTGGTGCCCAGGGCCGAAGGGCCGAACTCCTCCTCCCGGGCGCCCATTGCCGAACGGCGGTCAGCCCGATCGCGACAGGAAGCAGCGCGCTGCCACCCCAGCTCTTTAATCTTTGCCTCTCTAGGCTGCTGGAGGACCTGCCCTTCCTTGCTCCTTTAACCTCTTCCTGTGGGGTTTTGAGGGTAAGGCTGGGAAGCACCAGCTGTTTCCGAGGGTACAGTTGCCGCGGCGGGAAGAAAAGCCGGGGGGGGGGCGGAGAGAGAGAGGGGGGAAAACCTACCATGCCCCGCCTCCATTACGTCACCTCTTCTCTAACTCAGCTCTGGGGAAGAGGAAGCGGTTCAACCTCCATTGCGGTCAATAGGAGATTTCCTATAATTGGTGGGAACCGGGGGTGGGCCACTGGCCCCAGTTACGAGAAATGAAAGAAGGCCTTGCTCCGAATCCTGACGTTCTCCGCGCAGCTATTTCGCCATACCGCGCCTTTTCACTAACAGACCCCGGGTGCTCCTGAGGGGCCTCTTCCCTCACACCCATGGGCTTCTAAGGCTCGCGGGGAAACTACGTTTCCCAGGAGACCTCGCGGCGCTCGCCGGAAGCCCGGGCGCGAGGGTGAGCCGGGGAGGCGCAGGTGCGGTGGCTTGTGGGACCGTCGTCGGAGGTGGTGGCGGCGGCGGCGGCGGTGGGGCTCCATCATGGCGGCTTCCATTTCAGGCTACACGTTCAGTTCCGTTTATTACTACAGCACCAACAGTAGCGCCGACCATGTAAGTGCCCCTTGTGAGGCGACGTTTCTCCCTCACACACACACACTTCCCCGGGGGGGGCGGGGGGGCAAGCCTTGCGCGAGAGGAAACGGTCGTGCGAGGGAAGAAGGGGGAGGCGGCGATAGGAAGCGGAGCGCGGCTGAAAGGGGCGGCAGGTAGCCTGGGCCGAGCCGCCGTGGGAAGCGGGATGCGAGGGGGAAGAAAGCTGTGTTTTGGGGGGGGTGGCAGGGCGAGTGGGCGACCTTTGGGGAAGACAGCCATTCGAAGTGGGGAGAAGCAAAACGCGTGCTGAGAATACAAAACAGCTGAGCTTGATTAGGAAGCCGCCCGTGGAGCCGTCATGCAGCTTTTCCCAACCTGGTGCCCTGGGCGCTTTCACTTGGTATTTATGAAGCAACATGTAGAGACTGGCTTTGGAGATAATACAATCTGTTAAAAAGAAAAGAAATCTCGTTGGATGTATCTGTAGAAGCTGTTTTGTTTACCTATAGAAACAAGGGGAGCAGTAAAATAAAAAGAGAAACTAGGACCACTGTAGTAATAAAAGCTATTTTTGTTTATAGTGGTAAGCTGCAGTGTTAGGATGCTAGAAGAATTGAATATAGCAAGAGAAGCCTGATAGAACAGTTCCCTGTGCTTTGTTTTTCTAGGGGAGGAGGGCGGGAATCTGATTCTTTTTTTTTTTTTTTATAAATTTTTATTGAAGTTTTTAATAACAGAACAGAAAGCAGAAAGAAGAAAAAAACAAAAAAAAAAGAAAAAGGAAAAAAAAAGAAAAATAATATACAAAGTACAACATACAGACAAAAACAAAACTTCTAAGACACCTCGTTATATCGCCACTCATATCCCTTTTAGACTTCCTTCAGCGTTTTGACAATCGTTCGTTACTATCCTTTAAATACGCACTCCTTTCTTTTTTACATATTGCCGATTATTCTTCCCTACCTCCCAATCTCTATTAGACAATATTTAATATTTAATTACAGAGCCTCTTTGAATCCCGCTAGCGTTATTTTTACCCCGTAGTTGCTTTCCAGATAACATACAAATTTCTCCCAGTCTTTAATAAATTCTTGGTCTTTAGTGTATCTAATTTTCCCTGTTAGTCTGTCCAGCTCAGCGTATTCTGTCAGTTTTGCTCTCCACTCCTCTACCGTCGGGATTTCCTCCAACTTCCACTTCTGAGCTAACACGATTCTGGCAGCTGTCACCGCATATTGAAAGAGTTTCTGATCTTTTCTCCTGACATCCTTCCCTATAATACCTAGTAGAAATGCTTCCGGTTTTTTCACGAAGGTATACTTCAATATCTTTTTCAGCTCGTTATATACCTCCTCCCAAAAACTTCTAACCTTACCGCATTCCCACCACTGGTGAAAAAAAGTCCCTTCCTTTAATTTACATTTCCAGCATTTGTTATCCACCTTGTACATCTTTGCCAATTTACTAGGAGACAGGTACCATCTATAAAACATTTTGATCATGTTTTCCTTCAATAACGTGCACGCCGTAAATTTTATATTCTCTTTCCACAACCTTTCCCATTCTTCTACTTTAATATTATACCCTAAGTCCTTAGTCCATTTTTCCATCACCGGTTTCATCTCTACATCTTTCATATGCCACTCCAACAGTATTTTGTACATCTTTGATAGATTTTTGTATTCATTATTTAATATCTCCTTTTGAAAAATTGATTCTTTATCTTCATAGCTCCTTTCCTTCAGCTCTTTTTTAAACATTTCGTTTATCTGGAAGTAGTTTAACCAGTCATACGTTAATGCCTTAATTTGTTCATAAGGTTTTATTTTCCACTTCCCTCCTTCTTTAAAGACCATTTCTCCATAGTTTCCCCACTTCCCCCTCATGTTAATAGTCTTAGTGCATTTCATTTCTAGCGGGGAAAGCCAGTGTGGAATGTTAGGCTCTAAAATATTTTTATACCTGTCCCAAACCTCTATTAAAGCTCCTCTGAAAATGTGATTTGTGAATCCTTTGTGTACCTTCTTCTTATCGCTCCATAGGTAAGCGTGCCACCCGTATCTGTTATTTACACCTTCAAGATCTAATAATTCCTTATTCTCCAATTTGGCCCATTCTTTTATCCAGCACAGACATGCTGCCTCGTAATAAATTCTCATGTCTGGTAGGGCGAAGCCACCTCTTTCTTTAATATCTGTCAGAAATTTATATTTAATTCTAGGCTTCTTCCCTTCCCAAACATATCTTGTGATTGCCTTTTGCCATTCCTTAAAGATTTTTATCCCTTTTATTATTGGTATCGTTTGGAATAAATATAGCAGTTTGGGGAGCACCATCATCTTTACTGTTTCTATTCTACCCCAAAGTGATAGTTTCAATCTGGCCCATGACTCCAGATCTCTTTTTACACCTTTCCATACAGGGACATAATTATATTGATATAAATCAATATTCTTGTCGGAGAGCCAAATTCCTAAATACTTGATCTTCTTTACTATCTCAATCTCAGTTCTTTGCTGTAAGAGTTCCATCTTGTCTTTATCCATATTTTTAACTATCATTTTTGTCTTTCTTTTATTCAGTCTGAAACCTGCAAGCTTACCAAATTGTTCCATTTCATTTAAAATTTCTTTTATGCTGTCTATTGGTTCTTCCACAGTCAGGACCACATCATCTGCGTATGCCTTAATTTTATATTCATTTACCCCTAGTGTCACCCCTTTAATTTGTTTGTTTTGTCTAATTGCATTTAAGAGGACTTCCAGGACCACTATGAATAGTAATGGCGAGAGAGGGCATCCCTGCCTTGTGCCTTTACCTATTTTCAGTTCCTCCGTGATGACATTGTTCACTATCAGTCTTGCCTTCTGATCTGTATAGATTGCTTGGATACCGTTGAGAAATTTCTGGCCTACCTCCATGACCTCCAGATTATTTATCATAAATTCCCAGATTACGTTATCAAAAGCTTTTTCCGCGTCTACGAATATTAAGCTGGCTGGTTTATCGTATCTTTCGGACAGAAATTCAATAATATTAACTATGTTTCTTATATTATTCCTTATCTGTCTGCCCGGCAGAAATCCCTCTTGGTCTTTGTGTATAATCTTTATCAATATCTTTTTTAATCTCTTAGCTAATATTCCCGCGAAAATCTTGTAATCCGTGTTTAATAAAGAGATGGGCCTATAGTTTTTAACTTGTGTGAGGTCCGCATCTTGTTTCGGTATCACTACAATGAAGGCCTCCCTCCATGTTCCTGGCATGTCCTTCTCTTTTAATATGTTGTTCACAACTTTAGTCAGCGGGTCTATCAATATGTCTTTCATTTCTTTATAATAACTAGCAGTGAACCCATCCGGCCCCGGTGCCTTCCCTCTTTTTAACTCTTTTATGGCTTCTTCTACCTCCTCTTTAGATATTGGGGCATCCAGCTGTTCTTTTTGAACTAGTGAGATCTTCCTCATGACTTTTTCTTTCAAATATCTTTCTATTTTCCTCTTATTACTCCTCTCCTTATTCTTATACAATTGCTTATAAAAGTCCACAAAAGCTCTCCTAATTTCCTTCGGTTCTGTTGTCATCTCCCCATTTACCTCTATTTTACTAATTGTATTTGTTTCCTTTCTTTTCTTAACCTGCCAGGCGAGCCACTTTCCTGATTTATTAGCATACTCAAAATTTTTTTGCCTTAATCTTTTAATGTTCCATTCAACCTCCTTATTTATCATCATCGCAAACTGAGTTTGGAGAGTCTTTATTTCCTGCCTTATATTCTCGTTATTTGGTTTACTAATCAGTTTTTGTTCGCAGTCCATAATCTGTCTGAGAATCTCTTTTGACCATTTTTCTTTGTTGTTTTTTTTCCTAGCATTCTGTTGGATCAAGAGGCCCCTTATCACTACCTTACTTGTATCCCACACCACACTCAGTTTCGTCCCTTTATCCATATTGTTCGTAAAAAATTCAGTTAAATTTTTTTGTACTTTCTCCACAAATTTTTGGTCATCCCATAAATTATCATTTAGTTTCCACCTAAAGGAACGCTCCTCAAAACCTTTTAGCTCCATTATTATTGGGTTGTGGTCTGAGATCACCTTCGCCTGTATTTCTATTTTATGGATTCTCGGGGTTAGTTCATTCGAGACCCATATTTGGTCTATTCTGGAAAACGATTGATTTGGTTCAGAGTGATAAGTAAACTGCTTCTCTAGAGGGTGTCTCAGCCTCCAGATATCTACCAAATTGAGATTCTTTGTCATCGTAAAGAATGTTTTAGGTAGTTTTCCTTCTTTGGTCATGGTTTCCCTTAATCTATCTATTTCCGTTGAGACCACACCATTCAAATCTCCCATTATTATAATTTTCTGATCCATATATTCAAATAGCTTCTCTTCTAACATACTAAAGAATTCTGTCTTATTTCCATTTGGTGCGTATATCCCTACCACTATCATACTCTCCCCTTGCCAGTTAATTTGGACCGCAATAATTCTCCCTTCTTCGTCCTTAAATAGTTGGTGACTTTCTATTTTATTTTTGATATATAGAACCACACCCCTTTTTTTCTCTTTATCTGAAGATATAAATTCACTCCCTAACCTTTTGTTAATTAGAATTTTCCTGTGTTTCTTAGCTACATGCGCTTCTTGTAAGCATATGATGTCCAAATTTTTCTTTTTTAAGATATGTTCGATTCTGTTCCGTTTCTTTTTATCGTTCATTCCATTAATATTCCAGTTCCACAGCTTTAGCGTCATTCCTTTTGTCTTTATTTAGCCCTTTCTTTGTTTGAAGTTTTCTATAGTCCTTCTGTCCCTTCTTCTTCTTCTTCTTCCTCCTCTGCAGAGTCTCTTCCGGTCTGTTCTTCTTCTGCCTCTACTTCTGAGTCTTCCTTCGCCCTTGCTCCTCCTTCTGCCCCTTTGATCTCTTCCTCTTCTTGTTGTAATTCTTTATACCTTCTTGTAAATTTCCCAACTTCCTCTGGGCTTGTTAATCTTCTTTTGACTCCTTTG